TATATTACTTTAATAAGGTGTCAATTTTTTAGAGGAAGATAAAATTGATGTTAAATAACATTAAATTTTTATAGGTTTATCTATTTAAATCTAATAAAATTTAATATTAATGGACAATTACTTTAATGACATTTTTTTTTATTATTATTTAAAGTTGTATATATTTTTAATTAAGTTGAATGTATATATGACACTTAGTTTGAAATTTTTTATTTTAGATAAGAGATTATTTTAGATTGGAATTTATTTTAAATTAAAATTTATATTAAAGTATAATTTTTTTAAAAGAAAATTAAGTAGATTGGTGGATGGACGTAGAGCAAACCGAATCATAAGATATATATTTTTTCTTAGATGGAAGTTTTGGTTTTGGTTTGATCAACTGATTCAATGAGATAGCATAACATGGAGCATAATAAAATTAAAAATAAAAGAAGGGCACCGAGCGAAGATTCTAGAACACCTTATTTAAACAAAAATAAAAATTTAAAGTAGAACATAAACATAAACATAAACATAAACCCTTTGTAAAACCCTAACAAGCGACCTCATACTTCTCAAAAAGAAGCTCGGTGTCGGTGTTACAAATGGCGAAGCGTTTGATTCCACTCTTCAATCGAGTTTTGGTGGAGAAAATCGTGCCTCCATCCAAGACCAACGCTGGAATTTTGTTACCCGAGAAATCTACCAAGGTTTATTCTCCCATTTCAATTTCACCTTGTCTTCTTGATATGGTTTGTTGAAGTTCATTTACCGAGTTGATGTATTTTAACATGTTTTGTTTTAGCTGAATTCCGGAAAAGTTATTGCTGTTGGCCCTGGCCTTCACAATAAGGATGGGACGCTAATTCCTGTGAGTGTAAAGGAAGGCGACACTGTTCTTCTGCCTGAATATGGGGGAACTGAGGTCAAGCTTGAGAACAAAGAGTATGTCTATGCTTTTTATCATGTTTTATTTATTACTTTATTTTTTTACCCTCATTCTCTTCAAGTTGATCCTGAAGTTTAATGTGGTAAGTATGGATGTTTAAATGGGCTAGTCTAGAATTATTCTTGAGGTCCTTTATTTTTGTAAGAAAATGGTTTCATTAGATGGAAGCACTTGAACTTCGATAGCGTTGCCTATATGATGCCTAGAAGATTTACTTGTTACAAAGTTGATCCCTTCATGGCTAAACGCTATTGGAGACTGTCTTTTTTGTGAATCATTAAAACAAGACTGACCCTTATTGAAGAAGGAAATTATATGCTTGATATATTGTCCATTATTTAGAATTTATAATTGCTTTGTAGATAGCTCATATATTGTGTATTTATTTTTTAAATCTACATTATTCATTTATGTTTCTTATGTCTGTGCCTGGATATAGAGCTTCTAAGCTGAAGCTGTTAATTTAGCTTTTCAATAGTTTCTTAGTTCTAATGAAGTAAAACATTAGTATAAAAAACTAAGCATTTCATTCAATAAATTTTGTTGCTTGTTGTTACCTGATTCTTGTGTACCAGATGTTGAGTTTATCCTAATCTATGTGTTGTGGTATTGACAATTAAGAATGTATAATTTGAATCAGCAAGGTGTTAAAAATTAGATATTTTTCTCAATGTTAGGAGAAGAAGTCTCATGATGAACAAATGATATTACTATGGTTGATTTGGGAGGAAGTGTTTTTCTACTGGTGCATCAATATTTACGCTTTGACCAAAATCCACTGTCAGTCACTATCCAAAATTAGTTTCAGGGGACGAGGATAGGGAGTATCTTGATTTTTTTATCTGTAAATTTGGCTTTCTCAAACCCTCTCAAAACAGTGGGATTTGAGTGTGGCAAGTTAGCAGACAAAATATCAAGATCAAGGTTTGAGGATTTTGCTAGTTCTAGTTCTGGAAATATTTCATCGATGTTGAACTGAAGGTTTTTTCTTCACTTCTCATAGCCAACAATTAATTTCCCCTCTTTTCTTGTGCTACCTTTCATGTTGACGTAGGGTATGTTTGGTTTTAATTTCTAAAATGTCTGGAATCAATTTCTTTACATCCAAAATGATCAGAATCATGTTTTTTGCATGTTTAGATATTAGTAAAATTGATTTTAAGCTGTCTAAATTCACATCCACTTAGAAATAACTATTAGTAATTTCTTCATTAAACAAAATCAATTTTGAAGTTTTATTTACCAAAATTTATAATTATATTTTCAAAATCAATTTTATTATCAAGTTTCTAAACAACATTCAATATGAAAATCAAGTCCATATCTTTTGTCATCCAAACAAATATCACGTTATTTTTTACTTATATTTACTCAAAATGAATTATGTAAATTCACATTAATTCTAAATCAATTATATCAACACATCCAAATGTACACAAATACAGTATACCCACAAACAACTATATGGTTGGCTATGTAAATGAATTATTATATTGGGGGGTGGTATGGGACGGATTAGTTAGTTGGTTGTCATCCTAGTCGCAATAGCTGCTATCTATTTCTCAAGGCTTGGCTAATAGATGCTTTTGTGTAGGTATCATCTGTATAGAGACGACGATATACTGGGGACACTGCATGACTGATGTCAAAATCATTGCTGGACCTTGGTGTAGCAATTTATCTGCTACATTTGAGCAATTTCTTTCTGTTCTGATTTTTATGTATGTCTAAGTCTACGTTTGGTAGCGGAACAAAACATTTCGTTGCTTTTTTGGTTGACCAAGAATGTCATTTTGTGCAACAATTGGGAATGTACTTTGTTAGTTATTAAATTTTTTGCCTTACATTTTATAGTTCTGTTTTGACTTTATTTTATTTTATTTTATTTGGGACCCTATAATCCAAGTTCGAGCACAATCAAGAAAGTAGCGATTTCATTCTTGTTTGACAATGTTCAGAACTTAAACAATATTCATCAATGCACGTCATATTAATTTCTTGGTTGTTATTTCCGTGTTGCTTGAAGTCGAGAAATTAAAACTGCATCATGTAGTGTTTGTTTGGATTCTAACTGGCTATCTGCATTGGGCTAAATTTTCACGTCAAATTGTGTCAGAAGCAACAAATAGTTGCGTCTATGATCCACACTTGAGGTGTGTGGATGAGAACCCAAATACACTGGCTGGCAAATAAAAAATAATAAAGGTTTCTACATTAGGTTCACTGCTTGTATTTATTCCATTTTAGTTGACTATATATTGATAAATGATAATGCATTTACTTTCTATCTCTGTGGTGTTAACTCGTTACTTTGTTGCTTTGATTATGATTTAAATAATTAGTTTTGTTAAAAACAATCAATCTGAACAAAATAGAATAGTAAAAGGTCAGTATGCTGTAGATGATGGGGTTTAATATTATATTTAAATAAATTCAAGAACTTTTTTTTGTTTGGCTTGTGTGCTAATTTTCTATAAACTGAGTCAAACTAAAATGTAAACACTATATATATATATATATATATATATATATATATCTTTAGATTTTAATTTTCAAATTTAAAAATTAAGAAAATATGTTTAGTTTAACTATTTTCAATAAAAATTTGTAAAATATTTTTATCATAAAATTTATAAATACAATTATTCTATAAATACACATTAAAATAATTATCCATTTTGTAAATGTTTTGCACTATCCCACATTCATTCTCATTTTAAAATATTTCATTTTAGAAAATAAAGTGTAATAATAATCATCATAATTAAAAAAAATCAATATATATATATATATAATTTGATTTATTTTTATATATCATTTGTAGTCCATTAGATTTAAATGAATTTTCTCTTCAGTTCAGACCTCTATCGCATTTCTTAGCTTTCTGCCATTTTCTGTTTAAGAGGGGGAATTATATATCTCATCATTTTTTTTTTTAATTTTCCCATCCAATCTTAGTTTTAAATTTAATTTCCATTCCATTCAATTTAGATTAAATCAGTTAAGAAATAAGTCATTGACATTGAGTTAGTGGTGAGGGAAATGGATACATTTCATAAAGTTATAGCTTCAAATTTCATTTTCACTAATTGTACTAAAATAATAATTTCAGTTTAAAAATATCCCCAATCAGTTTATAGATTACAATCTGTTGAGTTCATTCGTTTCAATGGATTATACATGGCTATTGCTTATGCTTACTTTCAATTTGTGCTCTTGTAACTCATGGGAAAGAAAACAAAATACAGAAAGATAAAAAGCACTAAAAAAACAATTAAAAGGCGATCCAATAGCAGTAACCAATTTCGTGAGAACTCTATTAGGATTTATACTTATTGCGGTAAAAGGAATTTGTAATTAAAGCTGTTCTTATTTTATACAATACTTGGTAATGGCTTTCCTTCCAAAAAGGCTTTAAGTAGCCCGAGTGATCTCTGTGGTTGAGTAAAGGGAGCTTCATGAGATGCTCCTCTAATGGTGGCATATGATAAGATATCCCCATATACTTGTGTCCATCCTGCTACCTGAAATATACAAAATCATGGTTGAGTTAAATGACAGTGCTTAGATGTACTGAATTTTTTTAATGACACCTTTAATAACATTAGTTGTCAATTTTTTGATAAAATAATACTTTTATTTACTTTTTACGACTAAAGTTAATTTTTTATTAATCCATCCAGTTAATCATATTATATTATCTTGAAGATTATGTATATCAAAATTTAGATGATTCAGAAATTTTATAGAAGTTTTCAGTTATATAAAATTTTGTAGAGTTTTCAACCAAAACCAATGGTTAGATTGATATAAAACGTTGTTCAAGATGTTATACATTGCATAATAATTTACAAGTATTAACCTGTTTTCCTTCAAACCAGGCTCTATAGGCCACTGTTGTATTCAGTCCAAGTTCCTTAGCTAATCCATTCACCAAAGATCGCGTTCCCAGCAATGGAATAACTGAATCTTGATCTCCACTGCACATAGAAAATGACTTTCTTTGCTTAAAAAATGTTATGCATTGATGAATGATGGTAGGTAGGTAATGGGGTTAGGTAAGCAAATTTAGATGATTCAATAAATTGGCTTACCTGTATACCAGAACCCTGATGCTGGAATTAACAAGTGACCCAAGAATAGAAATTGTTGGTACCTCTAGATTCCGACGGTCATAATGGAGAACCCTGTGACACAAGGTAGTTAGTCTTAACAGAAAGCATGTACAGGTCTAAAAGAGAGTTGCTAAACTAGGAAATTAATTTGATGATTGATGAATAAAGGACCGTAAAATAAGATGGAAAAACTTGTATATATCTAAATGCACTCATATTTGAAGCAATAAATAATACTTACCTGCTGCAAGTTGACCAGTTGGAGACTCCAACAAGCTTGGCATGGAGAGCTTGCTGCACATCTTTTCTGTTTAAGTATGTGATTGCTTTGTCGTCCACACAAACATCTATCTTACGTGTCTCTTGCTACATCATAGAACAACAACTGAGAGAAAAAACAATCAAAATAGTTAAGGTGGCTATGCTGATAACAGGTAAAGCATACCATTTGATTCAGCACATAGGACTGTTGATTTGCCGACGACAAACACACATCTAGAGTGACATCATATTGGTCTACATAGTCGCTAACCTCAGTAAAAACCAGTTTAGTTATATTTGCACAAATGTCACTAACATTCCCATGTATCATTTGTCTCCTAATTGTAGAGTAGTTGCAAACTCTGGTAAAGAGATCATAAGTTGAATCTGAAATAAGTCCGTGTGACCAAAAGAATTCAGCTTTGGAGTTCAAGTCAGTATCAAATTCCATAAGAGGATTCCCTATCTGCAAATATTGACATATATATCAACACTTTATTCTAAATGATTTCTTTAACTTATATAGTTATTCCAAATTTCCCATCTGTACTCACTGCTATCCCTTTGAGATTGAAGTTGGCCTTGGATTGAACAATAAGTTGTGCAAGTTGTGGAACATAGTGACCTGCAAAACAAGTTTGTCTTACTTTTACCTTATTGCAGTTTCAAAATGAACATATTAATTTATTTCAAGTACCTGCGTAGCTCTCCCCTGTAATGAAGAAGTCGTTATTTGAGTACTCAGGGAATTCGGTGAACCAGCGCTGCAGGAAAACAAGATTATCCCTAGCTGTAATTTCATCTGTCACTAAGGTATAGAAAGATGTATTGCTAGAGTAGGAGAATCCAACACCAGCCGGTGATTCCAAGTATAGCACATTTGCCACTGGAAAAATTAGCAAATTTTGTTTTAAAAGAAAGAGCATATTTGATATTTTGACCCTTATAAAAACAAAGAATTGGATTTACAAAGTTGTTGGTTCACCTTTGTTCCAACTATAATGATTTTTCACAAGAACATTATTGTCACCCGGTTTGAAAGGGCCATGTTCAACTAAAGCTCCAACGCCAATGGATGAACAACCAGGACCTTCATATGTCAAATCCAAGAAAGCACCTTAATTGCTATGATTAGTCTAAAAGGTTTATGCCTATGTCAAAATAAAGCAATGAACAAAATCATGTATATTATGAATAACAAGATATATATACCTCCGTTCAACCAAAGGACTAATGGCTTGGAAGTAGGGTGTTTTTCTGCTTGAACAAAGTAATAAAACAAAGCTCTCTGATGTTGGTCATCCACAGTAATGTAACCTGAATATTGCTGAAATTTGACCTTTGGCTGCCCCGGCAAATTGCTTATTTTATCAGCTTCAGGAAGTGAACTCACCCCTACAAGTGTTTGTGCAAGAGCAATAATTATTGTTGCAATCATAGTAAATGAATGTGGTAACATGGTCATGGTCATATGCAGATGTGGTTGGTTTAATTGGTGAAATGCAAGGGATTATAACAAATAAGGAATGAGTCATTGGGCTTATTAATATAATGTTTGTAGTCCACACCTGAAACAAATGGTGGCGGTTACACCTATGTTTACATTTTTGGAACAAGTTGTTTACCTGCCTGCCTTGAGAATTTGGGTTATATGGTGTTTCCATCGCTTTTGTTGTTTTTTCATGTGTGGATGCACTCTATGATTGACTTTAAAAGAGGAATAAAAATGCGTTAGGCAAATCACTGCAATTTAAATTAAAAAATTAGAATTTAGTATAAGTACACCAAAACAAGTGCATGTTTGGTTTTTGCATTTCACCACTGTCGATTTTAATCTACTTAAAGACATACTTTTTCATTTAGATGTATTGGAATGTGTTATAATAGATATTCAAACACACTCATTTCTTTATGGTGTCTTTCAATTAATTATATATCTATGTATAACTGTTGACATGACTTTTGCATTATTCGTTTTATTTGATAGATACCTGTAGGGTTGTGTATGTGGGGGCTGTGGGCTAATACATTTTTGGATTTTGTTTTGGCCCATTCGCTTGTTTATTGACAATTTGTTAGAATAGTCCATCCTTTACAGGTTGTAATTAAGTAAGCAAACTCATGGTCCATTGCATGTATATATAATTAAAATTTGCCCAAGAAAGAAAAGACTCAGATATTCAAATCAGCAAAAACTGCATGAAAGAGAGCTACTTAAGTTGTTTTCGCGTAGACTCTTGCCTTCACAGACCTAAAGAAGTCATACACATAAACATATGTTAAAGACCAACAGCAAATACGTGCAAGTATGGTAAACTTTAGGAAGAACAAAGATTCATAAAAAAGAAGGAAAAGAAAAAAACATTAGGAAGCATTTTTTTTTTCTGTGAACAACATAATGTCGGTTTCTCATTGTCTACTCGCGTTTAAAACTTTATGCTCGAAAGAATTTGTAGATTTTTCTTCTTCTTTTGTTTCTAGAACATGCGTGTTTTTTGTGTTTTGAATATTTTTATTATCCATTATAATTAAATTTAGTGGAGTGTTTTAGATTAGGATTTTAATAAATTTTAAAATATTTCTTATTGTAAAAAAGTCTTGTGATGTTTAATTTCAATCATGACATTTTTAATATAAAATAATTATGTAATATTTAATAAGATAATTTTAATTTTCTTAAAATATGATGGTATTCAATGAAAATAATAATAATAAAATTAATAGTATATCAAGATCTGGTAGTATTTAATTAAGATTTTTTTTACTTAAAAAAAAGTTTATTAGTATTTAAAAATATAAAAATTTTAATGGATCATTTTGAATATTGGATTTTGTGAACTTTTTAGTATAATTTACACGTATTCCACACATTAAATAATTTCACAAAAAACTTTGAGATTTTGCATGATTTTTTTTTTCTATTTCTATTCTTTCTTTCTTTTTTCACTCTTTTAAATATTTTCTCTTACCTTTCTTACTTCTCTCTCATATATTTTTCTCTCTCTTCATTCTTGTTTCTCTCTCTTCTTTTCTTCTCTATCTCATTTTCTCCTCTCTTTTTTTTCTCCCCTTCTCTCTCTCTCTCTCACACACACACACACACTTTTCTTGCTTCTCTTTCTCTTTGTCTTTCTTCTCATCTCTTTTCTTTTTCTTTCTTTATCACCTCTCTCATTTCTCTCTTCTTTTTCTTCTCTTATCTTTTTTTTTTATTTATCAATTGATGTATAACTTATTAATATTTTTTAATTATTAAATATTTAAAATGATTTTTATATTATTAAATATTATCTATTGTTAAGTTTTTTAAATTATTAAAATTTAATTTAATTTTAATAAAATTTAATATTAAAATATAAATTTTTTGAAGCATATATTAAAAAGACTTTGTAGGTCATGGTAATGACCCTTAAAAGGAAAATGAAGTTTTTAATTTTTGTGAGAAATATGACCGAGAGGATATTTAGTATTTTAAAATCACATTTCACAATTTTTAAGTAAGAGCCTCGATACAAGCTGAACTTGTATTATTATATAGCATTACATAACTTCTTTCTTAAAAAATATCGTTCTAATAAATTTTCAATTCAATTAGTGAATAAATCTTCATTTTTAATATTATCAATTAATGAAAACCATAATTTTAAACATATTATTCAAACTCAAGTGCATGAAGAAGAACATGTCAAATTGTCAAAATGTTAAAGGTTAGCTAAGAGATATTAAAATCAATTATTTGACAAAAAAAAATAGAAAATTTATGTTAGTTTGACTTTTCTTTCTTATTTATGTTATATTTTTTTATATTAATTTTGTAATATTGCAAATCTATTTTTTTTTTTGTGAAATCCACATACTCCTTTAAAATCTTATAATATAAATCTACCAAAATTTATTAAAATTTGAATTACAAAATATTGTAATTTTTTTTAAAAGTCATGACATTCTTACAAAGTCATGAGAGAGAAGTAAAAAATGTGAGAGAAAATATTTAAGAGAGAAAAAAGTCATATGAAATCTCAAAGGTTTTGGTGAGATTATTTGAAGAGTGAATCACATGTAAATTATACTAAAAAAAATTTAGTATTTAAAATAATTCATTAAAATATCTATATTTTTAAATATCAAGAAACTTTTTTTAAATAAAAAAAAGTTTTAATTGAATACTACTAAATTTTAATGGACTCTTAAAAAAATTATGATTATCTTAATTAAATACGACCAAATTTTGACAGATTCTTAAAAAAATTCTAATTATCTTAATTGAATATTATATAACTTTTTATATTAAAAAAATATTGATCGAATACTATAATATTTTTATAATAAAAATAATATTTTAAAATTTATTAGAATCCTAATTCAATACTCTCCTAAAATTCATTAAAACTTTTAAAAAAATTATATTTAAATTATCTTTTAAAATCTCAATCCAATACATCCTTTTAATATTAAAGTTTTCAACAATTTACACAATACCAACCAATCTAAACCTTGGATTTTGAATATTTCCTTTTATTTATCAATACTGTTTTACATCTCGTTTTAAAGTATGAGAGGAATTTCATGATTATTATGATGGATAGAATTCATGAGCATGAAATTTCAATCAATTAATAGTTTTGTGAAAAATTGTATTGGTGCTGGTAGGACTTAGGAGTACCCATAGGGTTAGGCTCCAAAGAGAAAACGGGATGTTGCATTGCATGGGCCATGGGTTGAATTTGTCCACTAATCAGGTCGATTTCTCTCCTTCTAAAGCTATGTCTATCTTATTCTTACACTCTTTTTCTTTATTCTCACACTTTCATTTTTTTTTTCTTTCACAAAAATACCTTTAACCAAATCTTGTTTTCATTGACTACAATTCACAACAAATTTTTTTTTCGTGTTATAATTAAAATCCGTCTAATCTATACTTTCATGAATCTTATATTTAGGTGTTTATAATTAAAAAAAATCATTTTAATTTCTATACATATTATTTTTAATTTTTCAGCCTATAATTTACAAAATTTTATATTTTAGTCCTTGTCGTAATAATTAAAAGAAAACAAAATAGTAAATATAAGGATTAAAATGAAATATTTTTAATTATAAAAATCAGAACATAAAATTTATAAAATTATAAAAATTATTAAATTTAAATAAAATTAGGGATGTAACTTTGTCATTCACAACGAAAACAGTTTTCATTATAATACACACTGAAAATTCATTTTTTTATATTATCTCTGATTTTTATTTATAAATAATAAAAAAAAAACAAGCAACAATGTTCTTCACTTGTTTCTTTATTATAAAAATATCAAAAGTATATTCCAAAATCACATCCTTACTTTCGATTACAAAACAACAAAAATATCTTATGTATTATACACATACATGAAAACTGAAAAGCGATGCATTTAATAAATGCATTATACTAAGTAAATTTAATAAATGTATTATATCAAGTAAATTTCATAAATATATTAAATTTAAAATTTAATATTTTGTAGTATTATAAAAGTTAGTTATATAATATTAAATTAATTAATTAATAATATATAAAAAAAAGGACATTCATTTTTTCTTATAAATTCCATATTATAATCAATAAATACAAAAATAATATTATATATTCTAATCATAAATGTTTTAATATTATTTTGAGATATTATTTATTTTGTGGTTGGTATGATAATTATAATCTTATCTCATGACTTTGTATTTAAAAATGTGTTTCAATGAAATATGAAAATAATTAAAACATAAATTAATACTATATAAGGAAGAATAATGTCCCTGACCACAGTCATATTTTCATTCTTAGAATACTGATAAATAAACATATCTAGTTTTTTATTTTGGAATTTTGCTTTCAAACTACTGGTGGTGTTGACATGATTTTGATATGTAGTCAATGATATTTCCTATATTTATAAATGCTATTTTCCATTAGAGGTGGTAATTATCCTTTGGTCAACTCAACCAATGCTATAACAGCATTTCTATTTTCCCAAATTGAAAGAAAAATGAATACTGCACAAACAACCATGATTGAGAGACTATGATACATGAGTAGGAAACAAATTAATAGTTATATTCTCCAAATTTATCAGGGAGTTCATAATGAATGAGCTATTTTCCCATAGTTGGGGGTGATCTGGGATGTTGGAAATGGATCTTCAATGATTAGGATTAACAAGAAAAAAAAAATCGAAGTCTAACAGTCGCATTGATAAGTATAAAATCAATAAAAATATATAATAAAAAAAGAGTTAATCACCTATACATTGTCAGTGTAAAGTTTTTTACATTGACAGTCAATCAGAGCTGTTAACAGTGCTTTTTATTATTATTTTAATTTAATTAAATGAACAGATGAAAATGTACTATTAACGGCTCTGATTGACTGTCACTGTAAAAAAACTTTACACTAATAGTGTATAGGTGATTAACTCATAAAAAATACCTGTTATCTTATAAATCAATGGCTAAAAACCTATTTTGGTCGATTATAATAAATGTTTGTTTCAATTTAGTCTCACTTTTATTTTTGGTCTCAATTTGGTCTCTAATAAATTAATTGGTTGCAATGTTAGACTTCCGTCCAAATTATTTAAACGGAGTTAACTGTTGGTCACGTGAATGCCACATGGATGCCATGTAGATGCATAAGTGGATGCCAAATTTCATTAATGCATCTGGAACCAGAACGGCCCGTTCTAAAACCAGAACGGCTCGTTCTGATTCCAGAATGCCAAAGACAAACGGTTGATGATTATAGTTCACGGTTGTGAATCGTGCAAGGAAACAGACCAAAGGTACAAAGCATTTCAAACACTTGATTTGGTAATATTGTCAATGGGGATTGATAACTTCAATTGCTAAACATTTGGGTTATACAATGTATCATTAAGGACAATGCAGTGTATGACTAATGGTAGCAAGTTTTATTTCATTGTTGGTCAAACTGGAGTGAACCACTTACTACCAAATTGACACTATACAGTCAAGGATGAAACGACATGGTATTTTCCCTTGAAGTCATTGACCGATATACCCCAACAACAACAACCTGTTCTTGAGGAGGTACAACCTGAAGTAAAGGAAGATGATACACAAGACCAACATTTCACCACACAACCACATGTACAGGTAGATAATGTTGATATCCTATCAGCCATTCAGTGTTATATGGTGGATAAGATGTATTATTGACACCTTTAGCGTTATCCAGATGATTTCCCTTCTTAGTAATTTCTTTGAACTTTTTTAGTATATGTTATGTTATGTTATGAATTTTTGTTTTCAGTCTCTGAACTATATTTCTGTCTTTGAATTTATGATATGTTATGAATTTTTATTTTTAATTTTTGAATTACATTGCGGTATTTTATTGAAGTGGTTGGTGTTTTGGAACGGCCTGTTCTGAATCCAAAACTACCCGTTCTAAGACCAGAACGGCCCGTTCTGATTTCAGAACAGCACGTTCTGCTGCACTTGTAGTGTGTTAATTTTGCATATAGAACGGTCCGTTCCAAATTCAAAATTAACACATAACATGTGTAACCAGAACGGGTCGTTCTGGTTTCAGAATGAGCCATTCTGGTTCCAAATGCATTAATGAAATTTAGCTTCCACCTATGCATCCACATAGCATCCATGTGGCATCCACGTGACCAACAGTTAATTCCATTTAAATAATTTGAACGGAAATCTGACATTACAATCAATTAATTTATTAAGAACTAAATTGAGACAAAAAAATAAAAGTAGAACTAAATTAAAACAAATAATTATTATAAGAGACAAAATAGGTTTTTAGCCTAAATCAATTTTATAAAATTAAGTTAAAAGAAAGTATCACAAACAAAGGTGTATACTAGCCAAATACATAATATCAAAAGATAATTAACATAACACAACCCAAAAAACACGACCTATACCTATAGTTGCAAAATGAACAAAGATCCTATTTGAGCTTTGCAACACCTAAATATATTTTATTGGATTAAATCGGTTCTTAGCTATCTACTTTCAGTAAACACATTACAATTAGCCGAAATCAGTTTAATTCTGTTGATTGAAAATTGTTAATCGTCGTACTTTCTTCCATCCTGTGCACCTTAGTACATTGATCAGAAAGATAGTAAAACACAGAAATGCAGAAGGCACGAAGATAACAATCATAAGGTGATCCAACAAAAATCAGTTTCTGTGCGGATTTTGGCAGCATTTATTATTTTATTTCTACTTATTGTGGTAAATTAAATTTATTCATTCATATTTTATACGACACAAGCTAGGTACTAGGTAGTGGTTTTCCTTCCAGAAATGCTTTAATTAGCACTAGTGATCTCTGAGGTTGAGAAAAGGGAGCTTCATGAGATGCTCCTCTTATAGTGGCATACGATAAGATGTCCCCATATACTTGTGTCCATCCTGCTACCTGAAATACATATACCAAAAAACCAAGGAAGAGTTAAATGGGAGTGCTTAGATGTGTTGAAATTTTCAAGGAAATATTGCATTCCAAGTATTAACCTGTTTTTCCTCAAACCAGGCTCTATAAGCCACTGTTGTATTCAGTCCAATTTCCTTGGCTAATCCATTCACTAGAGATCGCGAACCTATCAATGGAATTACTGAATCTTGATCTCCGCTGCATAGAAAAAAGACTTTGATTGCTTCAAAATGCTATTCTCTCACGGCTATATGTCTGTGATTAAACAATTCAGTTACCTGTATACTAGAACCCTGATGCCAGATTTAACAAGTGACCCTAGAATAGGTATTGTTGGTATTTCTAAATTCTGATAGTCATAATGCAAAACTCTGTTACATAAAAAAAAAAAGAATTTGTTAGCAGAAGATGTAAGTCTCAGAAAAAAAAAGGTGAGCAATTGTGCTTGAACAGGGCAATTAGATTGAGCAATTCTGGGCAAAGGACCCTAAAATAAGCTTTATATCTTAGGTTTAAATTAACTTTCTTGTGTTGCTCAATGCTCATGTAAATTATTTACCATATTTAGGAAAATTAAAGAAAATAAATGTTATGGAAAGGCTTTTACGTTACAAAAATAATATCTGACATCTCTGAATCAATAAATCTCACCCGCTGCAAGTTGACCATTTGGCTACTCCAACAAGACTAGCATGCAGTGCTTCTTGGACCTCTTTCCTGTTTAAGTATGTGGTTACTTTCTCACCAACACACACATCTATCTTCTGTGTCTCTTGCTGAATCAGAGATGAAGCAATTAAGCAAAACAAATATTAAAAGAATTAAGATGGTTCTTAAGCAGACAGTAGAAGAAGCTCACCAGTTGATTCAGCACATAAGCCTGTTGATTTACTGATGACAAACACACATCGAGAGTGACATCATATTCATCTATATAATTGCTAACCTCATTATACAATAGCTTATTCACTCTTGCACAAATGCCACTAAGATTCCCATTTTGAATTAGTCTCCTAATTGAGGAATAGTTGCAGACTGTAGTTAAGAGTTCGTATGTTGAATCTGATATCAGTCCATGAGACCAAAAAAACTCAGATCTAGAGTTGAAATCAATATTAAACTCCAGAAGAGGATTCCCTATCTGCAAATATCAACCAGTTATGTTTTTCAAACAAATCAAATGGTTTCTTATATTTAAATTATTCAGATTTTCCCTTCTCTACTCACTGCTATGCCCTTGAAATTGAACTTGGTCTTGGTTTCAACAATAAGTTGTGCAAGTTGTGGAACATAGTGACCTGCAAACAAGTTACAAATGTGCATTAACTTACTGCAGTTTCAAAGTGAATATATTATTAGATTCTTACCTCCATAGCTCTCCCCTGTAATGAATAATTCGTTATTTGAGTACTCAGGGAATTTAACGAACCAGCGCTCTAGGAAAACAAGATTATCCCTAGCTGTACAAGGATAAGACCATGAAGACAAGAGGTGGATAAAATCATAAGCATTTATTAGACTGTGATTCTTCTGTTATTATTTAAAGGCCACTGTGGAAAAAATGAAGTGAAAAAGAACCTGTAATTTCATCTGTAACTAAGGCATAAAATGATTTATTGCTCGAGTAAGAGAATCCAACACCAGCTGGTGACTCCAAGTATAGTACATTTGCCTCTGTTGTAAGGATGGAATAAGTAAGCAATTTATCTTGAGACCGTATTTGATATTTTGATCTCCAACAAAAATAAACCATTGGAGTAAGGAATTCTTGGGTTTAAGGTTCACCTTTGTTCCAACTATAATCATTTTTCTCAAGAACATTGTTGTCACTTGGTCTGAAAGGACCATGCTCAGCAAAAGCTCCAACTCCAATAGATGAACAACCGGGCCCTTCAAAAATCAAAACCAAGAAAGCATCTTAATTGCCTCGATCATTCTTAAAGGTTCAAGGATATGTTTGGATATAAATACATCCAAAAAGCACTTTTAAAAGAAAAAAATGAGTAGAAAAATCAAAATAAGTTTCTATATAGATTAAAACTAACTTACAAATAAGTTAAAAGTAAAATTTTGAAAAAGCTAATAGGAGGGTTTCTACAAATTAATTTATGCATCATACAATTTTATTCTAAAAAGAATGAATGATGAAAACCATGCATGTGATGCATAAAAAGATATAGCTACCTCCATTGAACCAGAGGACTAATGGCTTGGAAGCAGGGTCTTCTTCAGCTTCAACGAAGTAGTAAAACAAAGCTCTTTGGTTTTGGTCATCCACGGTAATGTAACCTGAATATTGCTGAAACTTGACCTGTGGCTGCCCCGGCAAATTGTTTATTTTATCAGCTTCAGGAACTGAACTCACCCCCACAAGTGTTTGTGCAAGAACAATTATTATTATTGCAATCATAGTAAATGACTTAGGGAGCATGGTCTTTTGTGAAAAAGTTGTTGGTTTAATTAGGATATAAATAAATCCTTAGCACTAGTGTTTATTGGCAAAGGATTATGATAGAAGCATAATGCACTAGCGTTTGTGCGCAAAGGATTATGATAAACGCATAAGGTTACTTATTAGGCTGTCATTATCACGTCACTTTTTACTTTTTAGTTTCTTGTTTGTCGCTTTTTCTAATTATCCTTTCGCTATAGTTAGGTGATACACTTAAATATTCATTTAACACTCTTAATTTCATCTTTCATTCTAAATTTAATGCTACAAACGTTTCATAAAGAACAACTCCTCTCTTCACAAGTGTTATTGTATTAGTCTAGTCATGAATCCAACACCCTTCACATGATATTACAGGGGGGAAAATCATAAAGTTCTTGCTTAAGTAAAACCATAATATTATTTTGTGCGAACGTGATAATAATACATTAGTAGTACTAATTATGAATTTATGTTTATACTTCATTTTGGTAAAAAAAAATGTTTATATTTCATCTACTTATGTTTGAACAAGACACATCAATAAATGATATTTTTTTATATCTAAAATTTGTCTCTTTTATAATTTTATGACACCCATATTACACATAAGGATATCAGCCCCTAATATTAAACACAAATTTTTATATTGTGTAAGAATATTTTTAAGAATTTTTTTTGACAAGAAAATTTTTAACAATTTTTTAACTACTTATCTAATTCAGTTATTATTTATCACAATTATTTTGAGTTAAATTTTGATATTTTAAAAAATAAATTATCAATAAATAAAAATAATATTTTGTTATAATATAATTTTTTTTATAATTTTAAAATATAATTTATAAATTACTGTTAAAAATATACAATTTATATTTTAAAAATATCTATTTATATAAATTGTAAATAATTTATATATTAAACATAATATGTATTTGTATATATAACTTATTATAATCTCTTATTTAGCATGTAGTAATTATTTTATAATATTTTGTGTCCATGTGTGGAAACAAATGGTTGCGTGTCACATCCATGTTTGAATTTTGAGGATTGGCCTCCGGATATTTCTGGCTCTATATGGTGCCGGCTTTTGTTGTTCGTTTCCTTTGTCATCAGGATCAGTAATCGCATCATTCTCATTTTAAAATTGAACTACATTTTCTCCCTTCAATACTTCATATTATTATTATTATTATGGTCATCGTGTTTCTTTTTGACAAATATGGCGAATCGTGTTATGCATTGCACCAAATGTGTTATTTTGTTTTGTTTATTTTATAATTATATATATAATTTATGTTTCAATTATTTATGTGACAAATGATGAGATGTAAAGATAAAATATGAATTAATTTTTTCATTTATAAAAAAAATTGAGGAAGTTTTAAGTTTGTATAAAATGAACGTGCATTTTTTTTTATATTTTAAGAGAAAATTATTAATATTTTTTTGTAATTAGAAGGAAAAAAAATAACGAATACAATAATGTTGTTTGTCTTAAGATATTTGAATAATATTTAAGTTTCTTGCTTCTTTTTTACCCGTATTCACAAAAATATTAATTTCCTTATATCTCATATAGTGTCCAACTTGCAAATTATAAAATGACATCATATGATTTTAGCTTATATAACCAAAACTTTCACAGGCATCATTAACGTCCAAAAACATTTCATGGACATTGTGCTTCAAGTCCTTTATAGAGACAGATCTATGGCACTGACCAATTTGTGCTTTTGATTTTAAAAAATGAACGTTGTCAACTGCAATTCACCTATATATACATGTAATTTGATGTATTTGAGTCTAATTTGTGTATATTTATTTGTATAAGTGCAATTTAAAATTTTTAAATTAAGATTTTATATTATTAATATAAAATATTTTTATTTAAATAATCATACAATAAAGATGAAAGGTTGCGAGGTGTTTATTTATTTGAAGAATTTCAAATTCTTTGAGGTGAAATGCTTTGTTTGAATAAGAAATTTGTAACACCCCAGTTTTTATTTCACTTTTTATTTATTTATTTTAATTAAGGGTATTTTGGTAATTTTATAAAGGTTTAGGGGTGATTTAGTAGCTTGGAACGGGCCGTTCCAAACTACCAAAATGTATGTGATTTAGTAGCTTGGAACGGGATGTTCCAGAATTGGAACGAGCCGTTCCAAATTACAAAATTGTATGTGAATTAATAGCCCAGAACGGGCTGTTCTCAATTTGGAACGGGTCGTTCCGGACTATTAAAGACTGCTTTGAACTTTAAGTGGGAACGGGCTTGGAACGGGCTATGGCAGTTGAGTAATAAATGCACGCCAGAACGGGCCGTTCTGGTTTGGAAACGGGCCGTTCTGGGTGTGATTTTTACCCATGATTTTGGGGTCCAGAACGGGCCGTTCTGAAATTGGAACGGGCCATTCTGGCGAAGTCTGAGGCCTATAAATTGAGCTTTCTGCCACTCTAAAAAAGCACACCTCTCATTTTCTGATTTCTTTTCTTCTGCTCTCTCTTTTTTTCTCTCTACTTTCTGCTTTAGACTCAGGGAAACCCAGCGAGGGAGACCAACCAAATCTTGTGTAGGTTCAGCTTCTACATATCCAAGTACAGGGGAAAATGGAATTATTTATATGTAGAGTTACATGAGGGAATTGGGTAGAAGAAGAATCCTTTGGATTATGAGCAATTTTATAATTATTTCTATTTGGAGAATTATTGGTCTTATTTGATTCTGTATGAATTTAGGATTATGAATATATGATTTATTTGTAAAAATGATGCCCTGTGAGAGAGAACGAAATTATAGAAAAGTGCCTGTAGGCTATGTTTTGGAAAAATTGGATTATTTCTGTTCGAGGAATTAATGATACCATTAGATACTGTATGTGTTGAGGATTATAAATATATATTTAATTTGTAAGAATGCTGATCTGAGAGGAAGAACGAAACTGTAGAAAAGTGCCTGTGAGTTAGGTTTTGGAATAATTGGGGGTTTTACTGTTTATGTTAAAATTATATTAAATTGATAATTCTATTGATTATTATATTAATTTATGAATGTTATTATTATGTTAATTGATAAAATTGATGACTTAGATATGAATTGCTTGAGATGTATGAAACCCATTATTTTGGACTTATCTAATGCGTGTATGGAATTGAACTATGAGATGTTGTGTGGAATGTGAATGAGATGTGATTGTTGTTCTTCACACCTATGACCAGGGGTGAGCACGGCCCGAGATTGTTACATGAGTATCGTGAGCTTGGTTAACATGTCAGGGGTGAGCACGACCCTAGGTTAGGGGTAACGTGACCTTGGCACAGTATTATATCAGGGGTGAGCACGACTCTAGATTGTTACGTGGGTATCGTGACCTTGTTAACATGTCAGGGGTGAGCACGACCCTGGGATAGGGATAACGTGACCTTGGCACCCTGTTATATCAGGGGTGAGCACGGTCTGAGATTGTTAAATGGGTAGCGTGACCTTGGCATAGTGTGAAGTGCAAGATTTGTGATGATTGGTGTGATTGAGAATTATGACGTGATGACAATGCATGATTGATTGAAATACGATATGTTGAAATATTTAGGAATATAGATAATATGTTGTGTTTTCTTATGTGCTATATATATAGATGTTTTCTTTTCTCACCGTGCGTTTTGTGGATATTTTAGGTGAGGAAGATCCGGTTACGAGTAGCATCTAGAATGCTAACAGTGGAATTATGGGTATGCTCTGATATTGTGACATCGGGACATAAGATTTTTAGGACATAGATTTTTATATGGATTTGGAATTGTAATTATTATTTTTGAAAATAATTTGTAAACTCCTGCGTTTCATTTTTATTATTGTGGTTATTGAAGAATAAATTTGAAGATTCTCGTGTGAACCCTTTTACCAAAATTAAAAAATGTATTTGTAAGTTTTCATTATTACAATATATGTGTTGGGGGTAGTAAGGGTGTTACAAAATTTACAAAGAATTTGAAATCCAAGCATTTGTAAAATTCAGAAAGAATTGAGAAATTCTCATCAAACATATATTCTGACGAATGAAGAAACCATTTGACCCCCATTGAGTTAGAATTAGGGAAGGGCATCTTAGTCATTAATTAATTTCTTCTTTTATGTGCAAAATTCGATCTATCCATAAAAGAGAAAAGAGTTACATTAACATTAACATTACATTATTACAGGCTCTAACCTTGTGAAGTCTCAACTTAATGAAGCAGCAGCAAAGGAACCAGCCTTCATCATTTGCCTAAACTCTTTGTAGTTAATCATTCCATCGCCATCAACATCGACTTTCTTGATCATGCTTTGGCAATCTTGTACGGTTTTGCCATGCTTTAGCCCTAGGGAGCACAAGACCTCGCTGAGTTCCTCCCCCGTGATGAAGCCATCTCCATTTTGATCAAACACGTTGAAGGCCTCCTTCATATCCTCCTCCTCGTCTTTCTCGTCCATTATCGTTTGGTACAACTCGCCGAACTCGTCCATGTCCACGTACCCGTCTCCGTTCACGTCGATCTTCTCGATCATCTGGATCAGGTCTTCCTCCGAGATGTTGATCCCCAGGTTTTTCAAAGAGTCGCTAAGCTCTTTTCTCGTGATGCGACCATCCCCGTTTCGATCGAACATCTGGAAGACTCGTGCAAGCTCTGCTTGATCCATGGCTCGCAACAATTAATAGATATATCGATCGAATTAGGGAGAGGAGGAGGAGGAGGAGGAGAATATATATCACCAAAACCAAATGCTGTCAAAAAATTCAAATGTCAAAGGCTGATCTCTTATGTATATATTATGATGATGGAATGTGGGACGGAGCTTTAGTTACAAGGTGGCCTGGCACTGGCTAATCGGATACCAACCAACTTTATCCAAAAATGATGTTGCACCTTCATCACACATCCTTAATTGCGTTAAGTCGTTCGTTATTTTTGGTTTCTTCTTTCCCAAGTCTAGCTGTTGCTAAAACGGTTCCTGGGATTCGCTCATAGCCATGTAAAAATAATAAAAACAAATTTTTTTTATTATAAATAATCTCATTAATGTTGAATTATAGTTAGGTCCATGTGAGCAGAGATAATATATGCATGAAATCGTAAGTTATATAAGGTGCGTTTCATATACATTAAAGAAAATGAGAACAACGTATATATGACAAATGTTACTCAGGTTATTGAAAAAGTTTTTGCTCTATATATTGTTTGGTACGTGAATCATGGACATCACAAATAAAAAAATTTAAGTTTATTATAATATTAATTTACAATAAATAATAATAATTATTTTAATCAAGATCATTAATGGTGGTGATTACACTACAATAAATATTACATATAGTGACATACAAAAAGTGTCACTATAGGTACAATATATGTAGGTATATATATATATTTGACATATAGTTAAATACAATTTTAGTGTTAATTTTGAATGAGATTTAACAACATATTTTGTGTATTACTATAGTCTATACCCATATTTTTTAATAATATATCAACATATATTGTAGTTATTGTGTGGGTAAAAGTAATTTTTAGTAACATGTATAGTGTTACTATAAGGTGTGTGTCACTGTATGACAATTTTCTTGTAGTGTTATAGTAGTAATATACAGTGACAACAATAATAACAATGGTAGAGAGACAAAATGGTGGTGTGGGATGCAATAATGATGATGGTTAGTGACAATTATGGTAAGCGGTGAATCTTGTCAAAATATTTTAGGGAGCCAAAATACTTATATACATATATTCAAAATTATTTATAGTATATTATATAAAAATTCATATATATTTAAAAAAAAAAAAAACAAGATAGGGGTTGTTGCCACCCCTTATCCCAATGAAGCTTTGTTATTGTGGTGGCGTTAAACAACAATAAGAGTCAGGCGGTATTGATACAATGTGGTAGGGAGGGTTTTTTGTATTCAAGACAACAAGGTGTCTCATGATTTATTGAGTAACAAAAAATGATTTTTGTCATATCCTCTTCATCTTTTTTTGTCATGTTTTGTGATCTCTTTGTATATCAAACACAAAACAATCATATTTGTCTTGTATAGTACCATGAATTATAACAAATAAAAAGAATCCATGACTAATGCAACCCGTGTACACACAAAAAAGGAACATCATAAATTTCTTCCATAAAGAATAATTATACACGAACATTCATTTTACTCAAAATATCTCATTAATACCTTTTTTTACCATATTATATCACATATTACATTTACACTTCATAATAGAAAATGATTTATATATAGTAGTATATATATAAGGTCTTAAGTTTGATTCCTTGTGAACATTAATTGTCTATTTGACACCTGATAAGAGAGATAAAATTAAAAAATAAAAATATAGATATAAAAAGTAATATGATGTTTAGAAGAAAAAGATTATAAAAAAAATGATAGGTATTAATAAAATATTTGGAAAAAAAAAAGTGTTCATGAATCGTTACCATAAAAATTTAATTGTTGAGTGACAAGAGAATACCAAATTTAATATTAGAGCACTCAACACTATACATGTTTAAAGCCCATTGTTAAAATTGCATTCAAAAGTTTGTGATCAGTTGTATGGTTTGAGCATTGGATTCTTCGTAGAATATTAGGCATTTGGTGGTGGTGATTACACTACAATAAATATTACATATAGTGACATACAAAAAGTGTCACTATAGGTACAATATATGTAGGTATATATATATATTTGACATATAGTTAAATACAATTTTAGTGTTAATTTTGAATGAGATTTAACAGTATCACCAGCTCTGCATTTTCATAATGCCCATTTTTACTCACTTCATGGAAAATATTTTTTATGGATATTCTTAAAATTCATATATATTTTGTCATCCTAATTTCAACTCGGGATTTTGCTTGGGATGTTGATCCATTTTGGAACATCTTTTTGTTCATTGAAGTTACACATTAATAATTAAATGAAGGTTAATGTTTGTTCTCATCTTAATAAATTTTACACGAATCTAATTGGACCATATTTCACGATCGTGAATCGCAATGCAAAGCAGAAATCATTTGAATAAAAAGCAAGAGACAAAATCAGCCTTAGAATATTCACTTCATTTCGATGGGTATGCAAGAAAATTTAACATTTGTAAATCATTGTGTTTTTCTTTTTCTTTTTATTTTAATATTATGGTAAATTATACTTTATCCAACAGAATTTTTATACTTTTTAACTTAGTTATTAATTTTTTTTGGGTTCAATAAATTTTCTTAAAATTTGAGTTGAAATAATTTTCTATATTTTTCAATTACATTGCGTAATGATTTATACCAATTAAATAATTTTCTATATTTTGGCATTTTGGGGCTGAATTTGTTGCTTAGTATTATATATTCTCTCATATGAGAACAAACTCCTCTAAGGTGCAATTATTTATAATTAAGTTTTCTTGTCTACTTGAAAAAATCCACATAGATAAGATAATATTTCACCTGTGAGCAAGTCGAATAAGCAATGTACTATATAATTTGTAAATAAACAAATGAATGATTGATAATTCTAATATAGGATTAAAAAAATTTTCCCTTGTATATATATATATATAT